TTTTGGTCTTTCTATCAATCCTTTGTTTTATGAACACGCTATTTGCTGGAATCTGAACGTTCCCAAAATTAGAAGTAATCAAAAATAGTATATGACAGTTCACGTAAGTCTGGGTAGCATATAAAATAGCAAGTGGTCTGTATTCTGTCGAAACTGTCAGACACGGATCGCGATTTCGATCTTATTGGATCTCATCAGCGCGTCGCAGACAGCTCCGACAGAACACAGACCAACTTTTACCTGCTGTCTTAACAGCGCGTTTTAGAAAATACCACAAATGGCGCGGTAAACGCCATCTGTAGTACGATGCTACCTTTTGGGATTACGTATGCTCCAACAAGGTCCATTTAAATATATGGATATCTACTTGCTGAAACGAATCCCGGCGTAGCTAACCTCAACGTGATAGGCGCGTTACCGTAACCGAATAAAATAATTCGAAGTGGTCTGTATTCTGTCGAAACTGCCAGGCGTAGATCGCGATTTCGATCTTTTTGGAACCCATCAGCGCGTCACAGACGCGTCTGGCAGTTTCGACAGAATACAGACCACTTCGAATTATTTTCTTCGATTACGGTAACGTGCCTTATCACGTTAAGGTTAGCTATGCCGGGATTCGTTTCAGCAAGTAGATATCCATATATTTAAATGGACCTTGTTGGAGCATACGTAATCCTAAAATGTAGCATCGTACCACAGATGGCGTTTACCGCGCCATTTGTGGTATTTTCTCAGGGTAGCATAATTGGGAGTCCTACTGTAGATGTGTCCATATTATTTTCCTTTTATTGCGAATCATAAAATCAATAAACATATGCTTATTGTTATGCCCAAAACGGTCGCGAACTTGGTGACAACGTTTTTGTGGTAATGTCTTTAGGATGAGGCATAATTATTGCTAAATTTATTATCCCAAGCAACATTAACATAATGTTTATTAATTTGTTACAGAGGTAATTAAGACTTTCCAGTATGTAGGTAGCTATTGAATACCTATATGATGAAAATCACGCATTGAAGAAACTTGAGACACGTGATCTATGATTAGGAACTTTTACATAAGAGAAAGTACATTAATAAGAAAAGTAAAAATTTGTGCATAAAAGCTGTTTTTTTTTGCTTCAGCAAGCAACTTTGTAACAAAAAATAGTTGGCATGACTGGCAAGCAAGCGAACGTAGAACACGATATACTTATACAAGATAATTAGTTCTAAGTGTTGAATAACTTGATAGTCATAGTTTCGGAATCTTCCTGTCTTGATAATTAATTCCCTGTTAGAATTAATTCTCCAACGTTTTGCAGGTAACTATAACAAGCAACCTCAGAGACTATTCCTGAGTCGGATTTCGAAAAATTATTTAGACAAAAGGATTTTATGATCACTGCCGTCATGCCCGAAAAATAATTTTCTATTGTTATGTAGTAGGTCAATTGTTAGTCGTCGTTGTTAATGGTGCATTTAACAACAGACGCTGCTATCCTGTCTGATGGTTCCATGATTTTTCATCCCCCGACATAATATCACCGGACAAAATGTCCCCGACAAAATATCCCCGGACAAAATATCCCCGTGACAAAATGTCCCCGTGACAGTATATCTCCAGACTAAATATCCCTAGACAAAATATCCCCCCACCCTAAAAATCGCTATAAGAAATTTTTTCCAATACTTTATTCAACCTAACCTAACCCTGTCAAACTTGCGCCATGCTACCTTGCCGTACATTCCCTTCCTTACCAACCACACCTCACATGATCAAACATAATACAATCCAACCCAAGTCAAGCCAGCGCAACCTAACCTAACCTAATCTAACCTAACACGGTCAAACTTGCGCCATGCCACCTTATCGTACGTTCCATTCCTTACAGTAGCCTAACGCGACCCAAAAAACCTTCCACGTCCCTCATCGGCATATCCCCGGCGGATTTAGCGGATTTGTAGTGTATTCTAAACAAATAATTGTTATTGTATCAAAGAATATAAAGTAAATTTAAGTAGTTTATAATAACTATTGGAACCATGGACAAATCATGGAACCAATATATATGCTATTATATTTATTTGATTATCGATTTNTCCAACCCAAGTCAATCCAGCGCAACCTTACCTAACCTAACCTAACTTGCGCCATGCCACCTTATCATACGTTCCCCGTCCCTCATCGGGATATTCCCGGCGGATTTAGCCGATCGTATATGAATTTTATATTATTTATTGGAGTATCGGTTCGATAATTTATTATCGCGGCTTTTGTTCGGTGATATTAAGTCTGGAGATATTTTGTCACGGGGATATTTTGTCTAGGGATATTTTGTCACGGGGATATTTTGTCAGGGATATTTTGTCCGGGGACATTTTGTCGGGGGATCAAAATGCCTGATACGCTGTCTGATATCTACGACCCTGGAGCGAAATATTGGCTCTGACAATTTTATGAGCGCTTCACATTTCAATTTTTAATTAAAACTTCCCATTAAATGACAACATCCTGGATATGGGAGGTGGGTGGGTTAGTTAGTTCTATCCTTTAGTTAGGGATTTTTATAGTCAGCCATTTCCAGAAAGGGTTTCTAACGAGGAGATAGATAGCTACAATTTAAATTACAAACAAAGCCATAGGTATTCAGACTACAGATGGTGTTTAGCACGCTGTTTGTAGTAATTCATAAAGGCAACAGGCAGAGTTGGGCTGTGCTCTATCAGAGCTATCTCCGACGTGCTCATGAGACCCAAGAAGGTTGAAAACGCAGTCAGCGTCTAAGAATTTCGAATACTAATTACTGCATGAACTTTTTGTTTTGTATGATTATGTGCCTATCGCGTAGGGCTAGCTACTCTATGGATTTAGGTCAGAAAGCTGATATCCTTATGAACTGTTGTGCATTTTTGAATTCCTCTAAATGTAGCGACATGTGTACTACAGATGGTGTTTACCACGCTTTTTGTAATAATTCGCCATGATAATTGATGATGACTCCATTACAAATGCACGTACCCTGAAGCTACCTTGGACCGAAGCAATGCTTATCGGTGGTACAAAATGTTTTCAGAGGGCCAAGAAGATGTGAACGACGAAGAGCGTGCCAGACGCCCGAGCGTGTCGACAACAGACGAAAATATTGATGAAGTGAAGAAAATAGTATTGGCCAATCTTTAAATTATCGTTAGAGAAGTGACTGAGGATCTAAACATATCGATTTTTACCAGTGATTTGGACCGAGAAATTCGTACCAAAATTGCTCAATTTCGACCAAAAACAGAATTGGATTAACATTGCTAAGGAGCTGTTGGACTGTCCGCGACTATCCAAATTTACTCCAGAGGGTCATAACTGGTGACGAATCATGGGTTTATGGTTATGACATCACTCAATGGAAGCTGTCGCACGAGCCAAGACCAAGAAAGCGCGTCAAGTTAGGTCGAATGTGAAGGTTTTGCTTACAGGATTCTTCGATTGCAGGGACGTGGTGCATGATGAGTTCTTGGCACATGGTAGAACGGTATAATAAGGTATATCACCTGCGAGTTATGCGCAATTTGCGAGAAGCAATCCGCTAGAAATGCCTGGATTTGTGGAAGAACAAAAATTGGCTTTTGCACCGTGATAAGGTTAGTGCTCACACATACCAAGCGTGTACGCGAATTCTTGGCCGAAAACAATACACTAATAATGCCGCAGCTACCGTGTTCCCCAGATTTGACCCCCTGTGAATTTTTCTTGTTCCCGAAACTGAAGAGGCCCATGAAACGACGACGCTACGCTACGACTGAGGAGATAAAGACGGCATCGAAGGAGAACCTGAACAAGATCACAAAAAAAATGATTTTTTGAAGTGCTCCGAGGATTGGAAAAAACGTTGGCACAAGTGTATAATATCTGGTGGGGGTAACTTTGAAGGGGATACAATAGACATTCATGAATAAATAAATAATTTTTGAAAAAACACAAAATTTGCGACACTTTTTGAATAGACCTCGTATATAAACGTGATGCCACCCTTTCACAATTGCATACAACACAATATCCCTAGTATATTGCACATTAAATGGGTAGAATTTAATTGCGATCGTCTGAAACCAGATATAAAACTGCTGTAAAACAATTTTCTTTGTGAAAGCAATACTTTTCCTTATTAACAACAGCTGTTGGATATTGAGAACACCACAATGTTATAATCATAATAATTAGCGTCGCCTTGTGAGCATTCATTGAAAAATAGTTCATAACGGACTTAAGAAAGTAAGTTGAAATACGTATATTAACAAATAATGTAATAGCACCTCTTATCGTTAGTTGGAAAAAGACTTCATTTTTAATTGCTGCATGTCAAAGTAAGCAAATCCTTATCAAAACAAGACAAATTATAGTTTTTGTAATCGGAAAGGATTATGATGAAGACAAATTAAGGTGCCATTCCAGAATCATTACGAAGACTCAAAATTCAAAATGAAAATAAAAGCGGACTTAGGAAGAAGTTTTTGTTATTTAAAAATTTCGTTGTTGATGGGATATTAGTTTTAACGAATTGTATCTGCGGTTTTGGCCACGTGAAACTATTTCTAATTGTTTACAACAAATACAAAGTACTACCCGTTTTATCTCCTTTAGGGGGTGGGATTTTAAGACAGTCCTTCCTTAGTGTTTCCTTAAATTACCCACTTAAAAAATATTATCTCCCAATTTCAAATCTCTATGTCCGCGGGTTTTGGTTCCTCCATCGCTTCTTTTCTTCTTTTTAGGGATAGAATTTCAAGAAAATCCCTCTTGATTTCACCTTAATACATATAGACTCTTCACGGTTTCGTTAATAAACGACAACGAAAAACCATTTGTAATTATTTCGAATTCACTTTTTAGAAGAATTTCACATTTATTATTTGAAATAGAAAATTGTTTGATACGTCAAATTGATTGTCCCTAACAACTCTATATCACACCTCAGTTCAATTTATAGTCATCCTGTCTAAGGAAGTAAACTGCTGTAAGGACTTACCTGAGCCAAAGTTGCGACGGTTAGACCAAAGGTTAGTGCAATCTGTACAGTAGAGGGGGTGTCACCATAATCGATGCAAGATCCACAACCAATAAGGACAAGAAATAACGTCCCTATGAATTCGGCAGCAAGCATACGCCATATGTCACGGTCTTCTTTGATCTCGTTGAAACCAATCAAGCTACCCATGTCTGTAACAATTGAAAAATTGGTTATTATCAATTTGCTAAGACATTCATGACTAATACAACATATATACTGTTCGTTTCAAGAAGTTAGAGATATGCCCCTTCCCTTTATTAGGATGCGCCCTAGCATAATTCCAAATTCAATCATATATGTCTGCGGAGCTCATTTCTCCGCCGATCATCGAGCGAGAACTAGACAAAAGTGTACAGTACCATTTGCAAAATTATTTAAACTGCCTCGTTAAAATTTAAGAATATGCTTTATTTAAAAGCATATTTAGCCAAAAATAATAACAAGTGAATTAAGTTAACGTTCTACACACCTATAAAACTTTTGCTTTGTTTTCTATTGTTAATTTATATACATTTTTGTTTTAAGAAATTGCTAAACATTTTCGTCTAGTACTGTACAGTTCTAGCCGATCTCCTAAGACCGCCCATCGAGAGCTCTGCTCGTTCAAGCTTGTTCCAACTATTTGTGTCTTGCTCACACCTAGTGTGTATTCTTTCTATCTTCGCGCAGATTTCTTGGAGGTCACAATTCTAACAAATTGAAATGGACTGTATGTATTATTTGGTTCAGGCTTTCGCGGCCATCATTAATGTTGTTGGGCTTTCCGGCCGTCGTCTTTCAAGATTTATCCTCAGGGTCCTGAGGATAAACCTTGAAAGGATCTTGAGAATAAACCTTGAAAGACGACCCCGATGAACTTTTTGTTAGCTAGCTACTTTGTCGATTTAGTTCAGCAAGTTGATATCCTTATGGACTGTTGAGCATTTTTGAATTCCACTAAGGGTAGCAATATGTTTACTACGATTAACAGTTTTGAATGTATGATCTATGACTATTATCTTGGATGTATTTTGAGCGAAGTAGACAATTAAAATTAAGTCAGATATATTTAATCAATCAACGGTTATATAATAGAATGATAATACACATAGATAGTACTGGATTCAGATATATATCCATTCTGAGAGATAAGCATCAACAGTTGATTAAATATGAACGATTATTTTTTAATTCCTTATTGTACATTATATGTCAGTCAATTCTCTTTTAAATAATGACAAACGGCGCAGAGGCTTTTAGAAAATAATGACTCGGCTAGTTGTAAAATACAGAAATAGATGGCAAAATTTTATATTATAACTGATAAATTCGAACTTATATAATGTAACAGTAAAAATTATTACGACAATAATCGCTATGCTCATGTTGTCTTTGTCATCATAACCTATAAAAGCCCTATGCATAAGGCATAAAAAATAAAACTAATAAAAAAGCAAGTGAAATAAACAAAATAAAACTAGGAGGAAGTTGTGGCAGAATATTCTTTTTTGTAAAAAGGTCACTAGTGGTTACCATTCACTTCCTATTTTAGTTGTTATTGTTTCGTATTTGTTGGTGGGTTTCAATGTGTCTGGTGTTATAACTGCACAACAATAACCTTCTTTGTTATGTGACATCCGAATCATTAAACATTGTGGCGTGTTGATATAACAGAGCAAAAGTTCAGAACTTCCTTTTTTGAAATGAGCATACCGCACATTTTACGTCAGGCACGTTCGTCTTATTTATAGAATAAACGAATTTTTCAGCTTTCTAAACCCATTTACCTATTGAGGATGAACAATTACTACTCTCCATTACATAATTTCTGATCTTTACAAGGAATAAAGTTAAATTGTAGCCAGATGGTTTAAAATAAAATTACAGCACGCACTCTATTACCTAAAGTTTGACTGGCACACAAGAAGAAAATATATAGAATCAATAATTTAACCAGAAACAAATGATTCGAAAAAGTATAACCTAATAAATGGTAGAAAATGCAACGGTTCGCTGCGCAATGGGTGACTGCGCAGCGCTGTACGAGTGCGAAACATGGACGGTGGTGCGGCGGAAGAGAAAATGTTGGAAGCAGTCGAAATGTGGTGTTACAAGCGAATAATAAGGTTACCGTGGATAGAGAAAATTAGAAATGAAGAGGTATTGGAAAGAATAGGAGAATAGAGGACTCTATAGAAGTCAATAAAAAATAGGCGAGATAGCTTGGTAGGACACCTTCTCAGGCATAAAGATCTAGTCAGAGACATATTAGAGACAGAAACAGGAGTTAAGAGGAGTAGATGCAGATCTATTTTAGATTACTGTTCACTAATAGTTAAGGATGTAGGATGTTAAAGATTTAGGGAAATGCGAAGATTAGCTCAGGATAGGAAGGAGTGGAGGTGCGTGTCCAACCAGTTTTAGGACTGACGACCTTGATGATGATGAAAAAAAAGTGAACATTTCTTTCTAAGAGAAGAATACATTAAAATTGCTTCAAATAGTTTAACTCATAAATCCAACCGAAGCAATAGTTTTTCGTTTAGTTTTGGGTTTTTGTTGTCGTCTTTCATATTCCGCCCTGGTTTTAGTCTTGGTCTTGTTTGTACGGTCTTGCTAGTATAAGAATTAAGAAAAAGAAGATTTACTATATTAGATCTTATCGATAATGTATTATTATCCAGTTCTCCAATAAGTAAGAAGCAAATTTCTACAGATGGAGTTTACTACTTTCTGAAGTTATTTTTATTGTTTTGTAGATGTTCACCAGACCGCGAACGTGTAATTTTCTATTGTCGGATGAATTGCAAACGGAAAAAACAAAGTCAAATGTTTTTTTTTGCTTTTTACGGTGTACATTATTGTTGTTTTCAATTATCTATCTACTACGATTAATTATCAGTCAGGATTGAGTCTGTTGTCTTTTAAAGCAACGCGGATAAAGCATTTCGAACGGAAATGATGCACCATACAAGCATGAATTACACTTTATTATTATTATTATTATTATGTAATAGATAATTGACAATAGATTAGCTACTTGTTGCAAGCAAGGTCAGAAATGTACGGAATTCAAACTTCTTTAAATTACTACCTATAAATATGAGCTCATTACGCTTCGCGGTTAAATTATTTTTATGTAAGTACTTCCTGTATTGTTTAAGACGAAGATTGTCCCGAAGGATTATATTTTGAAATATTTGGCTAAATAATTGTCATTACTTCTAAATAGTCAAACATACAACACTTGTTTTTCAGTGGTCAAAGAGTTTCAGACACATGCGACCAAATGTAATGAAAAATATCTAGTGGATCAATTTCTAACTAGTATTTGTATGGGTGAGGCTTTTGTCAGTGTGAAAAACTATATAGGGTGCTTCTGAAATAAGCGGCAAGTGTTACGAGAATTGCATGGTGAGTAAAGCAGCATAGTTAAAGGGCAAAAAGAACCTTAAAAGAAACAGAATAAGCTGCAATCCAAAGCCGGCCCTGGGTGTGAATTCACAACATACAGGGAAATTTAGACAACTAAGCAGCTGCATGTATGGAGAATTTAAGCAGCGACGGTTCTGGAACGCGTAATATTAACAGCCTATTACTACGCCACTACACATAAGAATGTTTAGACATCCATTACCATAAAAATTATTTGAATTTTAGTTTGTTCATTGCTAATAATAATAATATATAATAATATAAATAATAATGTTAACAAAATAAAGTAAAAATTAATATTACGTAAACATTAACAGATAAGTTAATACCCTCTGGATTACCTTCTTTTATGAGTAGTTCGGCAATCCTCCCATTAGAAAAAAATAGTTACAACACCAGTAAACATACATACATACGCAAGTACAATACAAAAATTATTTCATCATAGTCATGCAAAAACGTTCTGCATTTCGCCTACTTCATTTGCAGCGAACACACACTGTCGTGCAAATCATTAGCGTTTTGCACTGGTGTTTAACACACGTGCTATTTCATGTAAAGTGAAGTGAATTTAGATCAGGATTACGCGCCAACCAAAGTACATGACCCGTACGCCCAGTCCGGCGTCTAGAAAAATATTCGTCTAGAAAGAACTCACACTTTGGTCAATGCAACAATACTATCGTACACTGACCTACGAACTGAAACACTGACCTACTGCCAATGACTTCGACAAACTACATACACACAGGTCTATAATGTTAAAGGAAGAAGAAACTACTCCAGGCTGTCGGTAACATTAACATCGTCAATCACATTTAATCGCATGTAACAAATAACAAACAGTGCGTGAGTTACAAAAATACAAAAGACATACAACAGGGATGCTGCGAAGTAGAGGCTCATTGAATGCAGCGTTGCAATGTCGCATTTGTTAGAGTGATCCTACCAGGGCCGGACTGGCCTTTTCAAATACGTTTTTCTCGAAAACAGTGAACCTTTGGACCACCAAACATTTATTTAATTTTCTTGTTTTGTAGTATTCTATCATCTCCTGCAAGCTTGCTATTTATTTCTATATAAATGGATTATTACTAACAAAAACTTAAAATTTTATTGTTCATTTATCATCTGTTAATTACTATTAATAATAACTGAAAATGTTGTTGTTATAAGTATTACGATATTAATCAGGTCGGCTCGTGAATATTGATCATACAGGTGTTACTGGCGGAAGATACGATAGACAATAGTAGAAACATAACATTATAAAGTGTAATGAATTAATTTATGGAATATGGATCAATAAATCTAAGTGAAAGCTGAAAGTAGACAGTTGTTAAGTAAATGTCCCTGTTTATGTCCAGATCATTGTTAAATAGTACAATAATTACATCTTAAAATTACTAGTGCAGGATTTTCAATAACATTTGTGCAATAATTATTATTGTAATTATATATTAAATAGTTACATTAACTGTATAATAGTAAAATAAAAAAAAGAGTGAACGATTACCTTGACTTGGTTTTTAATAAAAATTCATGAAAACGAAATTGAAGTTTTCATTTTCTAATCGTATGTGATCACTGCCAAATTACCATTGAATTATTGAGATATCGAACCTTGATAGGAGTTTAACAACGTATTTATGAATATATTGGGTAGGTCTTGGAGAGAAAAGATTACTTCCTCATATTTCGAAACCTCCAATACCAGTTACTTTCCGAAAAGCTT